ATTTGTTAAGCCGAAATATTTGTCAACACGATTTATTAACAACATCCTCGTATAATACCATCTTATATTAGTATCGTTGTGCAAATCTCTAGACTTATATACATATATATATGTGTATATATATATATAAAACAACGAATAACTTTTCCAACCGCATATGCATGTTGGGGTTGATCCATTTGCCTGTGATCCCACTGAAATTTTAATATTGTAGATTACTAGTATCCATGATCTGTTATTTTTAAAAAAAACTTTCATTTAACCGTGTGCCAAAACGAGCATATGGAGCTTATTGAAACACACCTGGCTAGTTCAGAGCTCCTAATTTCAAATATGGAATTTTTCATATCGTATTTTTCCTTACTCCTTGATCTTAGATGATGATGCATACAATCTTCATCTTGGGAGAAGGAGGGTTTTCATCAAGAATTCCAGTGAAAATAAACACTTTCTGAATACTGAACACCCAGTAACCTGAAAAATTAATAATTCATTCCCGAGTCCATACCATAGGGGCCAGCTGAAGTACGCCTTCGGGTGCGGGAGTTTCTCGCTGCAGTGAAGACCCATTGGTGGCCTTCAGCTGTTGTCTGCTCTATGGTCAGGTTGTTGTCTCTTTGACACATTCCCGATTTCCATTCTCAATTTTAAGTGTATTTAAATACCGAATTCTCGCAAAAATTAAGTCCAAAGCATGACGTCCTTAAAAGGCCACGCACTCATATTTTTGAAGTACTCAATATTTTAAAGATATCAATGTTTTACTTATTTCTTTAAACTTTTTGGATTTAATTTATTTGGATATCTCAATATTTCATCGTTTCCAGTGGTGAAGTGTTTTGTTTTTCTCCATTTTATAATTTTTGTTCTGAAATTCATCAAGTTCTTTTCCTTTCTTAAGAAATATTCAACACACAATATCGTATATAAAGAACGTTTTTATTACAATAAATGAATAATTGATCATGATGATGGACACTTGTTGATAGTATGTACTTATCATTTAGCATTGCACATGGTCATACTCGAGGGTCTGGTTGATGGATCAGGTATACAGAATAAAGAATATTGGATCAACAAATTAAAGAAAAGGGAATAATGGGATACACGAATATAAAACATAATTCTGCAAAAATAAAAACTAATGTACACAAATACTGATTACAGAAATAAAAGATTAAATGAAAAACGGAAACGTGCACATTCTGTATATATAATTAATAATAGTAGGAAATATTAAAATTAGACCTTTTAATTGATTTAAGCTATGCCAATTCGTGACAATCAGTTTTGTTTCTATTTTTGTAAGGGGGTTCGGTGGCCCAGTGGTCTAAGTAGTCGAACTACTGTATCACTAGCCAGTCAACACTGAGGTTGTGAGTTCGAATCCCGCACGGGGTAGGTGCAGTCGACTCCAATCTAAATTGACTAGGATTGTCAGTTTTCCTACCGAAGGTCGGTGGTTCTCTCCATGCACTCCAGCTTCCTCCACCAATACAAACTGACCGCCACGAAATAGCACAATAGCATTGAAAGTGGCGTTATACACCAATCAATCAAACAATCCTTTTGTAAGCATGTTTTTTTTTCAAATTTACGTGGTAATTTTATTAAACTGGGAAAGATACATATTTAGGATCAAAAGAAAAACATTTTTTTTCTTTTTTTAATTGTTAAAAATATTGTCATGTCAGGGCCTTTTGTAGCTGCCTCGAATGTGACCAACCGAATAATACTTATCACCGAGTTTGTTCTTACATGAAAAAAACGACGTGTGCCATACGTTGAGCAGGGTATGCTTTTATAAAGTGTTAATATTATTACCTAGCACTGAATCAATCGCTGTTAGTGAACGATTCGTCCCGAAAGGTATCATCAGCTCAGTAGTTGGTGCTTTAATAATGGGATGATTTACAAAACAGGTCTCTTTTGAATATGACTCCAATTGAGGTATGTATACATCCTTGGCATTTTTTTGTTTGGAGTTCTAGCGTTTCTGATGTACACAAACTAAAAAAGGCACTTTGAACGTATTATATGTATGCCGTGCTAATTTCATACAAAAAGTGTAATGGTTCGAGAAAAGGACAAACAGACAGCAACCAAACAGCGTGACTATTGAAGATACCTATACGTTCGCATACAAACTTCAACGACTGACATTAGTAAATTGTATATCTCTTTATGTCTCAATGTCAATGGAACAATTTACCCTAGTACACAATAGTATTCAACAACTTACCCTTCTACATAATGTAATTCAACAACTTACCATACTACACAATGGCATTCAACAATTTATTACCCTACTACACAATGGTATTTAACAATTTACCCTTCTTCACAATGGCATTCAACAACCTGTCCTACTACACAATGGCATTGAACAACTTACCCTACTACACAATGGCATTCAACAACCTGTCCTTCTACACAATGGCATTGAACAATTTACCCTACTGCACAATGGTATTCAACAACTCACCCTACTACACAATGGTGTTCAACAACTTACCCTCCTACACAATGGCATTGAAAAATTTACCCTACTACACAATGGTGTTCAACAACTTACCCCACTACACAATGGCATTCAACAACTTTCCCCATTACACAATGGCATTCAACAACTTACCCTACTACAAAATGGCATTCAACAACTTACCCTACTACACAATGGCATTCAACAACTTATCCTACTACGCAATGGCATTTTACACTCCTACACAATAGCATTCAACAACTCTGGTGGACAGTTATCTCATTGGCAATCATACCAATTCTTCTAATTTTTATTTTGATGTTAAAAGAAATGTTCGACAACAGTTCTCGTTATTCGTAAAAAAGCAGGGTGTTTCATTCTAACAATTTCTTATTCTTGTCTTTCAACACCATTTGCCACCTCTGGCACTATCATAAAAACGTTATTTTGCGACCTTTTCCTAATCTCCAACTCATTTCATCATTTTGATTTGGGTCTAAGTAGTCGAACTACTGTATTACTAGCCAGTCAATACTGAGGTTGTGAGTTCGAATCCCGCACGGGGCAGGTGCACTCGGCTCTAATCTTAATTGACTAGGATTGTCAGTTTTCCTACCGAAGGTCGGTGGTTCTCTCCATGCACTCCAGCTTCCTCCACCAATAAAAACTGACCGCCACGAAATAGCACAAAAGTATTGAAAGTGGCGTTATACACCAATCAATCAATCAATCCTTTTGTAATCATGTTTTTTTTTTAAATTCATAATTATCGATATTTTTCTACCGAAAACACTATCGTGCATGGGCTAATAAAAATCAGTGTCTGAACATGGCTGGTTCTCTCACCCTAGCAAACTGTTGCCTACAAAGATTATACATATTAAGATATTAATTAATACAGAGGATAAGAATTCCTTACAATTTATTATGGCATTTTGTTTTAAATGGAAACGAGATGGATAACGTTGTTTATGAATTTAAATTGTCGAGTCTGCGATATTTTGTCGAGGAAGCGAGACATACAGTGATCCTATTTTCAGTCGCTGTCGACATCGGTTACATTTATTCTGTAGTTTTAATTTTTTGTAGATAACAATAACGTTGTCAAATTTACGTGGTAATTTTATTAAACTGGGACAGATACATATTTAGGATCAAAAGAAAAACATTTATTTTCTTTTTTTAATTGTTAAAAATATTGTCATGTCAGGGCCTTTTGTAGCTGCCTCGAATGTGACCAACCGAATAATACTTATCACCGAGTTTGTGCTTACATGAAAAACACGACGTGTGGCATTCAGCAACTTATCCTACTACGCAATGGCATTTTACACTCCTACACAATAGCATTCAACAACTCTGGAGGACAGTTATCTCATTGGCAATCATACCAATTCTTCTAATTTTTATTTTGATGTTAAAAGAAATGTTCGTCAACAGTTCTCGTTATTTGTAAAAAAGCAGGGTGTTTCTTTCTAACAATTTCTTATTCTTTTCTTTCAACACCATTTGCCACCTCTGGCACTATCATAAAAACGTTATTTTGCGACCTTTTCCTAATCTCCAACTCATTTCATCATTTTGATTTGGGGATTAAGAAGATTCTTATGACCGGCAATTTAAAGCCGTATTTCGAAAACAAACTATCTCCATGATTTCGACGTTTGATTGACTTTTTCTGTTGATTGTACTTCTTATCATGTTCTAGTTGTTTTTTTCTCTGATAATGATTACAAAAACTGGATGAGACATAAAGAACATAGTGGTTTAACACAGTAGCTTGCAGTGCGTGCTCTTGTTCGTATCATTCTGAAACTTTATCAGTATCGTTAATCCTCCGATATCTGTTATATATTTTTTTTGTCTATAAGTGAAATATTTTTGACAAATAAATGATGCTTTCTATTCAAAAAGTCATCAATATATTATGCTTTAAACTGTCAACATCCGGCACACTCTTTCCGTGTACAAATGATTCATCAGTGGCGCTTGAATTGAACCAAGTTATTATTCATTTATAGATTAAAAAGATTCGAACGCTGTGAAGGTCAAAGAAAGTGACGGTTGAAGCTGTCACAATATTTTTTTTATATATACATGTATATTTATAACTGCAGGACAGGATTATACCAAAATGATTTTAAAATAAAAATAACACTTTATAAATTTGGTTCGTTTTGAGCGTTTTTCTGGATTCACCTTCATCAGGAACTCTCAAAGACACAGATTTGAAAGCCAAGTATGTATAAATACCGAGGCATTCGAAGAGCAAAGATGAAATGAAAACATGGCAAAATTCATCAAAGGTAAACATTGCCTGATGGAAACCTTAAGTTTTGTTATAAATCATGTCAGTACTGAAGCACTGACTGCTGTCTTGACCAAGTCCTAGAAAATGAAAATGGCACTTTGTAGAGTATTTGCATCCGAAGCTCTTATCTATATTTATCTTCATCAGGGACAAATATGTATTGGCATGTATAAGAAATAAAACACTAAGATGATATACATATTTATTAAAAAATAAAATCCAGATAAAATAGATTAGATCTGTTATTCCAAAATACATATTCATACAGATTGGTTGAAGTTTCATATAGTAAAATATAGATCAGTTGTTTTAAGCATGCAAATTATCAGTCACTTTGATGTAGACCTACCAAAAACATTGTTCAAATAAGATATAATAAAGAAGGAAAAGATAACCCATAGTAAATAATTAGCAATCTCAGACAAAACATAGATTATTCATAAAATCCCTCTGAATTTATTCGAGAAATAATTCCATTGTCTTGCATCTTCCCTAAGTTACAAGACAAACATGTAGTACACGTTAGTTGTTGTTTGTATCTGTTCTTCTATTCAGTTTTCTATTCTGATATCTTTTCCATTTTCTTGCTTATATTTTCTTTGATTCTACATGATAAAAAGAATAATAAAAAAAAATAACATTCACATATTTTTATTTCAATCTCGATTTTCAAAGAATATTACAAAACATGTATTAGGTAGTAAACAGACATTTTATATCCATAAGTTCACCATACTAATACATTAATGAAACTTACAAACACTGAAGGTGGATCGAGAGGATTATCGTCTCCTACTATGCATGCATTACTGGACGTTTTAAATCACAATCATGACAGGCTTGACAATCGGTAAAACTACAGATTATACAACTATTCTGGTTCTAAGGCTATTAAAATATGTCGCTAGCTAAATTTGGTTTACAAAAAAGTCGGCAGGCAGACATGTCACCAAACCAGGACATATCATTCTGACTCCGAGCTGACCAGTCTTTGCTCTTACTCCTTAATGCCGCGTGCTTGATATGACATTGGTATTTGCAGCAAATACCAATTTTAAAGTCTGTTGTTTGATCATGACCTTCCGCACCCGAGGCGAAAACGCTACCACGAGACCATCGAGGCGGTCCGTTGACATATCAAACGTACAGTATTTACATATCAAAATGAAATAAACAATAATTTCCATATGACACAATGTCCCGATTTTACTACATTGCTTTATTCAAGAATGTTGACGTCGAATTCAAACCCTAAATTTGGCATAAAATTTAGATTTCAAATATTGCACGTCATATGTACTTGTGTACCAAGTTTAAAGTAAATTGACCACAACTTTCTGGGGAAAAACCTTGACAAATTTTTTTAACCTTATTGGGGAAGATGAACGGATCAATCGACGGCTTATAATATAGACCGAAAACATATTACTATACAATCATAGTATGAGCATACAAATATAGCGCTTCAAGTCATAAATGTGTTACAAAATGATAGCAGTATAGCGCATCGGACGCATGAAATTAATAAAGTGATGTTTATTTTTTAGATCCGCGTTCGTCAAATAAAATTGTAAGTTTAAAATCATTTACCTAGTTTCTTTTCTGATTCTTTACATGATTCTGTAAATACAGTTTTACACATTCAATTCAAGTGATCAGCTATATATAAATTAAGTTTGATAGTAAAACAAAAATTACATGATATGAATTCATTATTTAAGTCAGCACTACGTCTTCTGTTGGCGTTATTCGTGATAATAATATATAGATCCAATAACAATGTACAGAAATTTCATTGACACAATGACTAGTATTTTATTTATTTACCATCCGTATATTATTTCGCAAATTAAGTACGTGCCATTTTCATTTGAATTTTTACAGTTTGTTCTAATTGGATATGTTCAACTACTGTCAGAAGTTAGGCAGAGGACTGAGCACTCAGAAACATGTTTGACCACGACACATTTTCATTTGCCAGTCACAAGTCAGGAGCCTGTAATAAAATGGTTGTCGTTGGTTGCTGTCTACCATATTTTTTTTTATATTTTATGCATAACTCAGGTCATTGGTTTCCTTGTTTTACTTGTTTTACTTGTTTTACTTGTTTCATATTTAGTCATGTCCAGGACTTACAATACGGTATGAGTAGTTCTCATTGTTGAAGGCCCTACGGTGACCTATTGTTCTTATATTTACGTTACGGTTGATAGTTATCACAGTTGTATGCGTACTACATTTTGTTATTATGCTATGGTAATTTTTGTATTCTTGTCTTTCATTTTTGCTTATGTACTTTATCTATGGAGTGTCTATATGCCATTTTGATTTTCTTTGTTTAAATAGTTATTTGTTTTAATAGTGATTAAGATAATAACACAATGTTGACTGCTGTACCCCAATATTTGACATTTTTGCATAGTATGTCTGTTTGTTTTGCTCACATAGTTGTCAATATAATGGACTGCAATATGACTGTCATACAAGTGAGAGGTTTAGCTAGCTATAAAACCAGGTTTAATCCACCATTTCCATATAAGGAATTGCCTGTACCAAGTCAGGAATATGACAGTTGTTTTCCATTCGTTTGATGTGTTTGAGCTTTTGATTTTGCCATTTGATAAGGGACGTTTTGAATTTTTCTTGGGGTTTGGTATTTTTGATATTTTTTTACTTTTTTCATTATATACACGAATGAATCTCAACATGGTCTTTAAATTTGTCAAATCAACTTTCAAAATACTTCATGTCACATTCAGCCGGCTTTTAGGTTCTTCAACAAATGTATGTATTCTCAATAGCTCCATAATGTCAGGTTTTCGTCTGTTGCATGGAAATAACCCTAGCAAAAAGTAAACATAAGCAAGCTACCAAAGGGATCTGAGGTTTATAGACATGGGTACAACATTAAATTGACAACAATGTGTGAGCAAAACAAACAGACATAATAGGAAAAAATGTCAACAATTGGGGTATAGCAGTCAACATTGTGTTATACTCTTAATCACTATAAAATTATTTAGAGACAACAGAAGGAAATCAATGTTTAAATCTTATAAATCATGATAAGCGTTTCTTGCTTTATATGTTAACGTACCTGAACATGCTCCTAAGGTACAGATTACGGTGAATATGTTGGAACCAATACAATCTTGTCCATTGTTAGATTTTGATGGGCTGTCACAACTTCTCTTTCTATATCGAATACCATTACCGCATGTGACAGAACATGGTCCAGTCGACCAGGAACCCCACTGACCATCAACTATAACAGATGAAACTTTATTTGAATAAGTTTTCGAAGTTTATATATATACATATTTAATATTTGACAGTATTATTGTTTTCAAAAAATTTATCTTTTTAGACTCAAGACAATGTAGATTAATGAGAAAAAAAGGTTAGCGTGATTACCGTTGAAACCAATTTTAAGTAAAAAAAAACACATTTATGTTAAAAAAAACCCCAACATATCTCTATTATTGAAATGTTTGTGTGGGACTTAACAACGTCTGTTTTTTGTCACAAAGATGCTTTCAACAAAGATACAGCTTTTTATCAGGTGCCATGAAATGAAACGTTATGTTCAGCTGTTCATACCATAGGACACACAAAAGAAAATATAACCTTTCCAAAGTTAATTCAAACTTATATGATCGATTTGTAGGCAAAGTTGCAAAAAACAATCGGCGCTAGATGTAGCTGTTAGAAGTAGAGGATACCGATACGGGTTTATGAGGTTGTTGAAATTCTTGTTCGCAAAAAGACCTTAGAGAGGTTTGGCTATTCAAAATAATGTTGGTTTAAATGTTCATCAATTTAGCAATCTTTACAAAAACTGAATCATAAGAAATATTTTCAATTTTAAGTGTAATTGATGGAGGCTTTCTCACCAATCTGTTCTACATAACAGAATAACAGTTATCTGTAGTGTCGTTATAAACTCGGTATCCCGATAAGTTATAAATGTCTTCATAATGATCAGTATGTTCATTTTTTTTCACTGTATAATTGGTTTAAACCGACTGCATTCCAAAAAAGGAAATCACGAAATTTTGCTTTTTTTTAGTCCATGAAGTATATGACATACGGAAGTTGACTTAACTTCGTTTAAAGTCTAAATATTAGTCTTTTATTGTTTCTTTATAAGCGTTAAGTATCGATAACAAAAAAACTGGTAAACTTTTTTCAGTACATCATTGACACATTTCGCTACGTGTCTGCGTTGCTTTGATATTTGTTAAAGTCTCAATAAAGCAGTCCATAAATAAATTAGACCGCCTGTGTGGCATGTGGTTTCTTTAATCATAAAGACATTTGCAGATTTCTCACCTGAAATTATATCTTATGTAAAGTTTTATTTTTTCCAAAGCTAACATAGATCCAACAATTCTCTGGAACTTGTGTTTAATGCTAGAATTTCTGTTAATTTTGCCTTCGAAATGTGATAACTGCATTGTATTTTAAGCTTGTATTACGTACAATTTATTTAACTGTTATCACTCTACATATCTTCATAACGTGTCGCTAGGTAAACTTAAATTGCAACAGTAAAACAAACGTTTTACTAAGGTTAACTAAAAAAAAACCAATGCAATTATCTCCTAAATAGTTGTCACCTTTTAACATCAGTATTTATTTTCAAACAGGAACTTTTTTTCTTCAAAATAAAAATTTCATCAGAACGCTTTTCTGGTTCAACCTTCACCAGGAATGCTCAAACCAACATTTGTTGTTAATATATTGGAATTTTATGCGAAGGTCATACAAGTTAGAGGTTAATTTACATGTAGCTATAAAACCAGGTTTAATCCACCATTTTTTACAAAAGGAAATGCCGGTACCATTTCAGGAATATGACAGTTGTTTTCCATTCGTTCAATGTGTTAGAGCTTTTGTTTTTGCCATTCGATAAGGGACTTTTAGTTTTGAATTTTCCTTGGAGTTCGGTTTTTTTTGTTATTTTACTTTTTGCTATGATTCTGAACTAGAAACAGTCCGTTCCATCACCGTTTATTGGTCAGATTCATGAATATTTTAGCATGTTTAGATCGAAGTTCTTTTATTTTTAAACATTTTGTATATTTGTTTTTTTAATCTCCCTGCCTTACCAATAAATTGGATACATGATTTCTTTAAACAGACATGGGTTTTATTTTGAATCCTGTAAATACAAATACCTGGACAATCACTTAAGCTGCAATCTGATGAATCCACACTCGACCCATTACAATTTTTTCCGCCCCTGGAAGGTAGTGGACTGTCACAAGTTCGATTTCTGGACAGAGTTCCGTTTCCACATGTGACGGAACATGTTGAGTTCGACCAGGAGCTCCATCCGCCATCAACTTTTAAATATAAACAAAAGTTTCTTCTAAATTATCTCTTAATTCTATAATGATTCATAAAAAAAACGTTTCTTTACAATTCTTAATTTGATTATCTTCATGTTTCAAAGGGAACTTTTCTTAGAAAGTTATGTCTTAAATTTCATGTCACAAATGTCAGTGCTTGTAATCTATGAATAGGTTTTAACTCATAAGATGCAAAAGTGTAATGGTTGGGTATGATATTAAGAACAGAAAAAGATAGAAAAATAGTTCAAACCACTACGTTTTCTCTCCACCTTGATATGCACTTTGTTCTTGAAAATTTGGAAACAAATATAACCAATTTCACATTGTGCGGTACTGTTTTCATCGCACTAGACAATTGCTGCCGTACTTTTGTGTTTAAAGTATTACTCACTGATTCAACATGTGAATATCTTTGTGTATTGTGAAATCTGCATATATAAGAATTAAATGATGTGTTTTGGAAAATTTATACGTAATGAAAGCAAATGACCATCATCTTTTAAGTGATAAACGCTTCCGTTCCTGCATTGTGATATGGATGCTTGCTTTTCTTTTGTATAAATAAAAATAACTGTAATTCAATGCTAAAGCCACTTTTTCATCATTTCCAATTGTGATTGTTTTATATCATCATTTAGTTTATTACGAACAAGTTATAGAAGTCAATTATAAACTATAATTCATATAATGTATATTTTAATGACGATTGTGTGCCCTTCCCTTCTGGCACATCTATGGTTGGTTTACTCTTTAAATAAAACTAAGAAATACTAACCTGGACACTTTGATACATCAAAATCTTGTATTTTAGTACTATTTTCAGTGCAAGTGCCGGTAAAGAAGTCGGCTATGATTTGATTGGCAGCCCATTGAAACCAATCAGTCATGGAACAGCATATCAGTGGATTTCTGCCCATTGCCCTGCAAGTACCATTTAAATACACCTTAACGTATATATACTTCCTTTTGTAAATTTACAGTTATTCAATGAAATCATTTTTAATAACACAACGTATTAAAACACGCGGTTAAAGACAGAAAATTAATGTACTATCATAAAATTTTAAATGAAAATATAGTAAAATCAATTTGTAATCATTAAAAATAAATATATTTGGGGAAAATTTGACATATAACATGAATAAGTTAACTACTAAAAGTAAAACTTCTTTCAACTAAGAATGGTAATTTTCATTCAAATTATGCGGTATTGAATCATGAGCTCTAAGTATATATGAAGATAAAAAAAAAGTAGCGTTTTAAGATATGCCAATAATACTCACAAAATTTGAAACCTTGATACTTTCGCAAATATATTAGCTGATACCGTTGTCAACATGTTATCGAATAACGACCTGGATTGCAAATATTGCCAACATTTAAATAAAAGCAGGACATGCAATAAAGGAAACTAATTTGATATGCAATGGTCTTTTAATCATATGCTGTTTTTCAAAAAGTCGTTGACATACATCAGCGAGAACAAGTCAATAGTTGATAATTTTTGATATATCATACTTTTAAATAAATCATCACAACAAATGATGCTTATAAATGACTGTGTTAGATACAGCACAGTTGTTTTCAATCCCCCTGTCTCTATATAAACAATTAGTACCGTTTCATTATCATATTCGCTGCATTTATCTAAACACAAAATGGGAGTGATCAGTATATAAAGAACAATACTGGAATATGATATATTTTACAGGATGACTAATATGGATTTTCACATGACATGGCATGATGAGTATGGCTATTGGAACAGTGAAACTCTCGTCATATAATTGTGTTTCACTTGTTCCGTTGATTGATAGAGTTTGACTTTGTTAGTTTTTAGGGAATTCCCCTATTTGAATTTGTCTTTGAGTTTGGAATTTTGTTATACTTTGTTTACCTCCTCTGCACCCACCGGCACAAGGAGCTCCAAAAGCCACAAACGCAATAGTCAGATATATAATACCGAGTCACGTCAGGAGTCATGCGATCAAAAGGAACATAATAACACCAAGACAAATAAAAGGAAAACTGTAAAGAAAATCAAAAGATACACAACTTGAGCAACTAGAATGTATAACTCTAGACCATCTTGTATTATTTGTTTTGTCTGGGTACTTTCCGGTCAATTGATGATAAAGGTTTCCAGCTGCTAAATTAATACAAACTAAATAAAGTTGATCGTTTTTCTATATGTAAACTAAGATGCTCAAATGTTAAATTTCCTGTCGAAACAGGTAGATGGGTTGGTACATCCATGAAACACATGACTTGTCATTTGTGTAACTTGAATGAAATAGGTAATGAATACCACTACGTGTTTGTATGTAACCATATCAAAGGAACGTCTCTTAGAACTCAATGCATTCCAACATAATATACACGTTATTCGTCTGTATATTTAAATTATCTGGACTATTCTCATTATGTAATATTAAGGTCTTGAAGAAAATAGCTATATTTTTGAGGAATTTAGAAAAAATATTGTAAGCTGTACTGTTCAGATAAAACATCTGCTCATAATTTAATGATACAAATTTGTATATTTTAGCTGCCATTTCCATTTGAATATATGTACTGAATTCCTCTTGTAACACTATATGTGTTTGAGAGTTTACAATACAGAATTTGAACTTGAACTTGAACTAGTTACACTTTCGTTGCTTTCAAGGGATTAGATTTGAGCATTCCTGGTAAAGGTTAAGGTTAATCCAGAAAGGTACATCGAACGCTCTACTGAATTGACAGCTAGTGAATTGACTGTAGAGTACTGTATTTTACGCAGTGCAAAAGTCTGAAAATTTACAGAAAGACAAAACATCATTGAGTTATTGCATGAATTTATTGTTCAGATTTTCCAAACGGTGTGAAGATCAATGAGCGTTCAAGACTTAAATTCATTTACTAGTGAAAACAAGTCCCGTGACCCCGTTTTTTCTTTACTTCTCATATTTTATCAAAAATTTCCATCGTTTAGTTTCTTTTGTCACACAAAATTGGGTTTTCCATTAACAATCTATAAAATATCTGACAAGTTTGCACAACTTGTAGCTTGAAAAAAACCCTCTGACCCACACTTTTTATTACATTAAAAAAAATACATGATATACACAACATTGTGGCAAAAAATAAATGTATTTCTTTATGACGCGCTCGTGTTCTTGTTTAACACAAAACACATTATCCACAATGAATTACAACTTGTCTGTTACGTTATAATGATTTTCAATTAAACAGTTTACATTAAAAAATAAAATACTTACAAAACAACCAATGATCCAAGATTAGTGAACGTATCGGGTTTTAAGCTTGATAATTTGTTTTCGGTTAACTCTCTGCCAAATTTAAAAGGTCTATTAATCTACACGAAACACAAAAGCACGCAAAGCACTAATTTACTTAATTTTCTACATATAAACTTTTTTTGTCAATTCTGATCATATAGCTCCAAAAGTATTCCAGCATTTATACATCTTTGTGTGTCATTTTTTTTTTTTTATTTGAGCGTTCCTTTTGAAGGTTTATTTCGAATAGCGCTTCGAATGTACCTAATCATGAAGTGTTGTTTTCATTTTGTGAGTTCCGTTGACTTTAGCTGTAGTTGAAGGTGATTTCCTCGTACATAAAATGTATACCTAACTTACTTATATTGAGTTATTTCTTTTCAGAACGATAGGTCTTTATATTGAAGAAACCACACTGACGATACCAAGTTTTGATGAAACCTTCAACAAGGCATACACTAATGACTTACCGATCTTAAACATGCAAACTGTAGTTTGTTAAAACATTTAAAGCATTTGATAGTAATCGTGTTTTGTTGGCAATTTGGCTTTTACTGTACTATTTTCCATTTTTAATAGTCTTTAAAGGTTTTAGACAGAAACAATCCTGAAATATCCCCAAACAATTCGTTAACGCAGAGTTTAAGTTTTGAAACAAATAATCTAAAGTTTTGTTAATTTGTGGCTACAATATAGGGACATGTTCTGAGATCATTGATAATGCACTTTTCAAACCACTTTTTAAAAATGGCAAATTGTATCACATTAATTGATGTGTAAGAATATAACAAAAAACTAAAATATACAATCGTGTTGATTGACATCGTAATCGAAATTGTACTATGTCCACCACTATGACCTACGAACATCCGTTTTCGTTGTATCCGTACATTACAAGTTTGTGCTTACTGTCTGCCAGTTCGGGATTTTCTTCATTGATATATACCTTTTCTTTTACACTTTTAAATTACCAAATATTCTCATTTTCTTTACGTGAACAGCCACGTTGGAGTTATATTCTCTAAAGATTCTCAGTTGTTGAGAAAAAAAAAACAGTTTTGCCAGACAAAAGAGAGAAAACTACACTACAAACCAGTAAAAGTCTGAAATGGCCAATATCTGTACTCGACTGTACTGATTTTTCCTCGACCAGTCTGAATTGGTCTGAAATTTACTTGATAATACTCGACTGTAGTCTGAACCATACTTAACAGTCTGAACTCGTACTCGACCCTTACTCGACCAGTACTTAACCATTTTATACGCGTCTGAACCATGCTCGACCTAGTCTGAACCATGCTCGACCTAGTCTGAACCATACTCGACCTAGTCTGAACCATACTCGACCTAGTCTGATTCATACTCGACCAAGTCTTAACCAACCTAGACCTATTTTTTGTATCTATCTATTGTATTTCATCAATTTAGGAACTGTTTTTAACAACATCTATTTCCCCTGGCTAGAAATTTGAACAACAATTTGAAATTAAAAATGTATTCAATATACTGTGGATTCATTATTATTCGTTGGATACCAATTTTCGTGGATTTCGTGGGTACAAGTGAAACACGAAATTAAATGTTCAACGAATTACATATTTTGTATAGGCTTGTTGGCAGACTTTCGGCAAAACCACGAAATTAAATATCCACGAACATGCAAGTTTTCCTTAATCCACGAAAATTGGTACCCACGAAAATAAATGAATCCACAGTAGCATTGAAACCAAAATTTCACTATAAACATAATATAACTTCATCACCATATTCATCAACACTTATATACATACATATATATCACCTTTGAAATAAAAATAAAACAAGCTGATCAAATAATCTCAAAACTGAATTGTGACTAATATTTTCAATGTTATTCAAAATCTTTTGAATGTTTTAGATATATTTTATGGTTACTGGACAATTTTCACCATTAACTCAAGACTCGTATAGATTTATGGTGTCAGTTGAGTTTAGTTAATAATGCAGTGAACATTTTTTTTATTAAAATATATATAAAATAGTATATAAAGCAACTTAATAAATTTAAAAAATGACACCTTTGTTTTGTTACACCAAGAATTTGATATAATCATGATAATAGAACTTCCATAGTAATCCTGTGATAAACTTTTAAAACTTCTTAAACTCGTGTATTACTAATCTAGCGAATTGAAAAGGCATTGCGATTTAAGTTTCACAGGATGCTGCAATTTTGAAGGAATGTTATTTAGAATTTAATACTCTCTGACCAGGTGTGATCTTTTTCATGAGTTTGCCCCAAGCAGGAGGTATTACTTTATACTTCACCACTAATCAGAAGAACAATTTTATTAATTTCTTAAATTTTTATCCCTTTTTGATATATATTGTATATAATATATCCCAAATAATAATAATAGATATATTTCTAAAATAAGGTTAAACAATTTCAGTGATTTTGTTGGCTGTTGTTACCTCAATAAAAAGATAATTATATAACTATTGTACATATTTTGTATGTAACCATGAAACCTTTGTAGTTTTTATTTAGGAATTTAGGAAAATTAATTAAAAA